AATATGTGGTAAATTTGGTACCACCAAATCTAATCCATACCAACTGTTGAACCCCCGGATCTCCCCGCTCCATCTGTTCGGAAAGTTCTGACTCGAAATAATCTGTCATGCTGTGAGTACATCCAACAACAGCAGAGTAGTTGAAATTTTTTTTTTTCAAACACCAGTTTACCCGAAACGGCAAATAGTTATTTAGTTGTGCCGCGGCTAGTCGCCGAACGGAAACAAAAGGGCGAGCATTTTTTACCACATCTATCGTACGACATCTAACGAAATCACCCTAGAAACATTCCCTCTCGCCACAGCTACTGCTATTGGCTATTGCCTGCGTCGAGTCCGCTGGCGCAAGGGGTTCGACAGCGAGAGACAAGCACGCTGAGAGAGTGAAAGACAGAGAAAAGAAGACAGGGCGAACTTGTGTGCGTGTTTCTTCAAGATTGAGTAATGATGGCGACGATCACCAACAACGCCGATAACAAGAGCCATGCAGGTGTAGCACCAACAGCAGCAGCAGCACCAGCAGCAGCACCAACATCACCAGGGCAACTGAACACGACAGAAGCAAGCACGTGGCCTGGTGCTCTAAGGATCGACGTCGAGTTGGCGGAGAATCATACCCGAAGGACGACGGGCGTTGATGGCGGGAGCAAGCGACACTGCGGGAGCGGCCGAGCGGCTATTCCCACTAGGCCTCCAACAGCCAAAAACGGTGTCCATAGAGCAACCAATAGAGTGAATTTCGCCGACGATGACAACGCGAGGAAGGAGGCAGGAGAAGCAGGCGTGGGGTTAGAGGTAGACTCGAGTCATCATGCTTGCCGGGTGGGACCCGTCCGGTGCCGTAGTGGCATCACCACAAGATCTGTCAGTCAGCGAAGAAAGCAGCAACAACAACGGCAGCCGCAGCAGCGGTCCATCCTGCAAAAAGGCGGCGCACTTGTCTCCACGGGAAAAAGCTGTGGGTACGAGGCCCTGAACAGCTCGTTTGATGACGAGATATCCTCTCCATCGGGTGAGACACCCGCGGGCGGAGACAGCGGCAACAACAACAACAACGATGGTGATGGTGGTGGCGCAGCTGCTGCCGGGAGGGGACAAGCGGACAAATTCGAAATGTGTCACTGGTACGAACGGGAAGAGAAGACTGAGGAGGGTGGTGATGCTGGCGATGCTGCGGCTGCAGCCGTAGCCTTTCCGTCGGGGAAAATCGAACCGAAGGCTGACTGGGTCACGCACGAGCGCGTTGGGGTGCAGGAGGAGGGGGGCGAACACATCAAGGTCAGACAAAACAGCCAGTCGTGAAGAAACTGCTGTGAACCGTCTAGACTATACGAGACTATCTACAGCAGTCCTACAGCAGTGTTGTTGTCGACGGTAGTCTATGTTTGGCGAAGTTTAAAAAAAGAGCTGGATCTTCTGGGGGGGGGGCGAATCTCTTGTGTTTGTTGTACGATGTATGCGTTGCTCGTGCGCTGGTCAGTTGACCATTCGCTCATCATGTAAGGAGTACCAAGGCATCGAAGCTGAGATGCCAACAACAGCTGCAGTTTTCCACTCTTTGTGTTTCGGTGTTAGACTAGTTGCGTCGATTTTGCATCAACTGCTGTTGCACCTCTGTGGGACCGAACGTATGTGTGGGTATCAAATCATTCTCCAACGACCAATCGCTCCTTTCGTCATCTTTGCCGTCTACTTTCTCTCGTTATTATGGGATACAACATACTTGGCAGACACTGCAAGCGATGGAAAAAAGGCAGTTGGATGACGAAAACATACATATTGTCAACACTTTCTTGTGGCCTTCCTTTCCGTGTGACCCCAGCTAGCTCTGGTGAACGTTCAAAAAGGTGTGCAAATGGCCGGTTCCCCAGAGAAATAACGATGACACACGAGCACGCACATTATCCCTCGTCCGTCGTTCTGTTGACAATTGTTACATAGAGTGTCTCGCAATACCCTCCGCCCTTCCCCGCTATCGGTGTGTTTCGCGGTCTTCTTTGGCAGGTCGAATTTGCCTGTTCGATCTTTTCAACGTTCAGATTTTTGCAGAACCCAACAACGATCGATTGGCTGTTATGGTCTGTCATGACTATGCATACAAGTCGCACGCAATATCCAATCCAAACGTTCATCCCAACCCGCCATACTTACTAGCGCTATTTGATTCTCGTACTCTTCTGGTTCAACCGACGCTTGTTCCGTATGTTCCGTGTGCTGTAACCGTTTCCGTCGCAGTATGTCTGAGTGGCTACCTCCAACATTTCCCCGTACTCTCGCGAGCGCGTCATTCCTGTTTTGCTTGAGTCAATTTTGCAACCCCTCACAAATAATATATTGGGCGAGATGAAATGGACGTGAAAGCTCAGAGTATTTGTAGGCACATCCTTTCTCAAGCCATGTGACAAATTCAATTTCTCGTTCCATTCCCGCGCGGGTAATAGCCCTTCTTGCACGGGCACCCTGGTGAAGTCTTCCAATTCCATGTTACCCCAAACACACACGCTATCACACGACACGTTCTGCGTGACGATTGTACTGTGACCGGTGCTTGAGGGCGTGAGCGTTGGTCGTTTACTGACAGAGTGCGAGTTCATCGTGCGTATTTCCCATCATTCCCCGCGGCATCGCTCTTTCTGAGTCGACTCTGTCTGGCAGAGCCTGACTCCCGCCGGGGGGGTTCTCTCCCTATTCCTCCACCTTCAACTTTATCGCGAGACGGTTCCTGGAGCACCACACCACATCCTAGACATCTTCACGTCCAACAAATTGTGTTCGGATGGGAGGATACGGACGCTAGGGAACCATAACCTGTTCTTCCATGGCATCATGCCTCATTGTTTCTCTCTTGTCGTGAGCCCTGTAGATGTTGCTTTGACAAGGTTAATGTCCGCGTCTCGCTTGTAGGGCTCGTCTCTTTTGTCCGGGTCACGTAGCCTCAACGACATACTCTTGGAGCGTGGAGGGTACGTTGGTAAGTTAGACCACGAAATGATGTGTCATCATCATGGGATACTCCGATCTCTAAAAAAAGTCATAGGGCGACAAATCTGCGAGAAATTTCTCTCTGTGCCTAGCTACTCTCGCGGACCATCCCACCAAAAAGTGCCTAGAACGAGTCGCGTGCCGCGCGAGCTTTGAATTCATTCATCACAACATGCTTACAATAATTGCGATGTCGCTATACCAAGATAGTTTTAATGACTGATCATTTTGGCTGTGTTTGGTCCCTTCCTTCCCTTTAGAAACGATGTAGGCTGGCCTCCTCTCTCCTCTCCGACTCATCGCCCCCTGAACCAGGTGGAGGACGACGGTGTCCAGGCACAGGGCGGCCCACCTTCTTCTCTGGAATCTCGCCAGCCCCCCTCGCACGCCAAGGGCGTCAGCGGTGGCGGCGAACACCCGCGCCATCCTTCGTCGATGGACAGGCTGGCCAAGCTCGTGTCGCGAGCGATGGCGACGATAGCGAAGGCTGAAACCACGACCTCGGCAGCCTCGGAGGGTGTGGGGCTTGACCTCCGCTGCAGTGGCAACGCCGCCGCTGCCGCCGCCGTCACGTGGCCAACATCGCAGTCGGAAGCACCCTACCCTGATCAGAACGATCCCACCGCCGCCGCCGTCGCCGCCGCCGCCGCCGCCCATAGTGGCATCATCGGCCACCCCGCGCAGCAGCAGCAGGGAGAGCAAGAAATCCGCTTGATATTTCGCAGGGCCCACTCCGACTACATCCATCTGCGCGAAAAGTCTCGCCACATCGACGTCCGTTGCTCGGCGTCCATCAGGACTCTTCAGAGCGTGTCCCAGGCCGTCAGGGCGCCCGAACGAGGGCTGCACCAGTCGTACGATGCCTACCTCCGCGCGTACTACTTCTTTCGGGCGGTCGAAAGGTCGGTCCGCGCTGCCGACGTGCAGGAGGGCGCGGCTAGGCGCGAGCTCCGGATGGCGAGCCAGGCCGCCCGGTCGGCCCTAAGGAAGCAAACCCGGGCGGAGGCGGCGCTACGGGCGTTCGACACCACCGGCTGTGGAAGCAGCAGCTCGTGCTCTTCTTGTTGTTCCTCCATCCACGGCGTCAGCGAGGAGATGCTACCGCCGGCGCCGCCGGCGCCGCCGCTGCCGCCGCCACCGTCGGAGGATTCGGTCACAAAAGAGGGAAGAGCGGGCACAGCAGGAGGAGAGCGCAAAGAGCACGAGGAAGACGAAGCCGAGACGGCGACGATGCCCTGCACCACGCGCGCGAGCTTAGAGCTCGCCTTCGGGATCGCCCGTCTCGAGGCGAGGCGAGCCTTCACCGAGAAGCACCGCGTGCAGGCCGTGGCCAACGACGCGCTGATCCTGGTCGGCGCTCTCACGGCCGGCGATTGGTCTCTCGCGGGCGAGCAGTACGACGCGGCCAGAACCGCCTTCCACGATGCTTCGAGGGACGCGCTTTCCAAGATCCAGGAGTTCGAGGACCATACCTTGTTGTTTAAGAAGCTCATGCAAGGCAGGGTTGAGATCCGGCGGCAGCTGGTCTTGGCGTACGAGGCTCGGGTGGCGGCGAAAGTGGCGGCGGAGTTAGCGGCGGAGGAAATGAGAACCAGGTACGTCGTGGTTGTCGTCGATGTTGCTACGCAAACACCAACCACCGTACCCTCTACATACACGCTCCATCCCGTCCCAGGAATCGTGATTGTCAGGACCCGCTTGTCTCCGTGGTCATACCATGGCACGTAGGTCATACGACGGTACATAGATCATACCACGGCACTTGGGTCGTATCACGGAGTTCAGTACCGGGAGTAAAATACTAGAATACAGGAAAGGGCAAGAAACCTCTCGTGCGCGGCTTGTGAACGACAACAAACTAATACGTAACACGCTACACCCTCGCCGCTCGCCTCGTAGCCCTTTGTCGTGCTCCGTGTAAAAAATTGCGTTTGTGGTGGGCTTGTCAAACACATTAGCACGCTGTTTACCAACTGTGCTGCTCATAATTTGTCATCGTGTGCACGCACGAACACCCACCAGGCTGGCTGCAGCAACGGCGGCGGCGGCCGAAACGGCGATGCCCAGGGCAGCGGCTGAGAGCGACGGTGGCGGCAGCAGCAGCGGCGGCGACGGTCGGGTTGAGAACGGGGAGCGGAGAGGGGGAAGTGCCTTGTTTTTCGTGCCTCCCGATGACCAACAGGAGGAATGGGACAAAGGGCAGGAAATAAGGCTGTGGCCTCGGAAACCAGTCATCTCGAGACCGGCCGAGGACCAGAGCGGCGAGGAAGGGGACGCGGGGCGGGCGGTGGGGGGCGCCACGACCGGGGACGACACCGACGACGGCAACGAGGTGCCGGCAAAGAAGAAGGCCAAGTTATGAAGATCGGCCAGCTCAAGATCACGGTTTGAATGCCAGATCCGGTGGTTAGAGGGCTGCCGGTACGTGTGTATGTGTGTAAAGGTACGAGACGTTAACGCTCGAAATTGCTGGTGCTTGGTTGTATGGTGGGTGAGTGCTGTGGGTGAATACGGTACACGGAACCTACCTGGGGACCGTGTGTCGTCCGGTCGCCCGATAGAGAAAACGCTGAAAACTCGCAGAGAAAGGCTGGGTTGTTTGCGGTGCGATGATGGCGTTGCCGTTCGAGGCAGCCAATGGTATTTATGGCGGCCACACACCAAACAGAACGTAATGTCAAGCTACCGCAGGAAACGTATGCATGAAAAGGGAAATAATTGTGCTTAAACGACTTGCTCATGGCAGTGGCGCTGTCGGCGGTAATAACAAACGTGGTTGACCTCTGGTTGGAGGAATCAGAGGGAACGTTGACGGGAGCCTTTTCCAACGACGCGTTGATGAGCAAAAAGAAGGTACTACGTCGGTGGGACCGTGGGTATTGATGTAGAGAGGTACCGTTGCTGATGGACTAGACTCCTTATGGATACCCACGAGAAGAAGTCAGTCTAGGACAATGTTGTTTGTGGTTGTTGTGTGATCGGATTCCAAGTGTTTGCGGAAGGTAAACAGGGTACCATCATGTGGGTGCGATGTATTTTGACTGGAGGATGCGGTTGCCGGCGCTATCTTGAGGATATGATCGTGATCCGAGTCAAAGCCATTTAGATGGTTGATGTATGTGGGTTTGGCGTCTTCTTGTGGTGTTCGCGTCTTGCGTGATCGGTTCTTGGGTGTTTCGCTAAGGTTGATGGTGTCTAGACTCAATAGCGAAATCGACGGGAAAAGTCCAGTCGCGCTGGTGTGAGATCGCACTGTCAAACCCATGCGTTAGGGGAGTCCATCGGGTTGAGCAATGTCAATCCATGACGACACCCTCTTCTCTCGCGAGCTTAAGGGTTTCGTAGCAAGTGAAGCAGCAAGTTTCATGACCGCCTGGGCGCGGCGCATCACATTTAAGGTAAATTCGTCCGACTTCGTTGAATTTTTGAAAGTCTAAATTTATCGGTGGTCCCAACAGCCCCCAATTCCACACCCGGGGTGTTGGCTGGAAAGCGCTTGCCCTTTTCGCTGCCGATATCAGCGAGGATGGAGCTTTGGTTTGGATCCCCATAGGCTCCTTAGCGGGACCTGTTCAAACCAGTGTGAGGGGGCGGACGTACCCCGCACACTCGACCAAGAACATAACCGACCAATCCTTTTCTTCAAATTACCTAGACAGAAAACACGAGAATACGAGAATCATAATGTTTTCTATTGCCAAAGAACAGCAACGAAAGTCTGCTCTGATCTTAACGATCGACCTGACACAGATCTCCTCACGGTGTATTATTTATTGTATGTCACCAGTGGGTACATCAGTCAACCAGAAAGGTTCCTTCCTATTGCGAATGTAGACATGTAGTCTAGACATTGCGTGATTCTGGCCTTGGGTAAATCCCAAAATCAACGGTATCTGGTGGGTCTGGGAATGATGTGCGTCGGGAGAAAAAGCGAGGTTAATGAGGTTGGTCGGCTTTCACGTGTTATAAAACCTTGTACGAAGTATGCGGTATCTGGGTGAGTGAGAGATTGCGATTTGCAGCGCTTCTTTTGAAGCATTTTGTAGTTTACAGTGGGTAGAACGTTGTGTCGGGCGTGTGTATGTATGTGCTCGAAGTTTCAGCAAGAGAGGTTGTCCAAGAAGGTATGTATGTATGCAAATCAGGTCGTGGAACGTTTGTGTGGAATAGATGGCGCCTCTAGTTTCGGCCGAGGCTGGGGTTCTTATTTTGCTGATCATCCTCTTGTGGGCTACAAATGGCCGCTCTATAGCTTTTAGTTTGGGGTTCTTAACCGAGCTCACAAATGGTGCTCAATTTCTTAGCTTGTGATTTTTTGCGAGTCTCAATTTCTTAACTGCTAAGTTCTTAAGTGCGGGCGCTATCTGTCAGGTGCGACCATTGTTGTCGCCCTTCTACAATCAATCCTAACAGTGGTTGTGCTGTAACCCTGGTGCGTTACACACATGGCTATTCCGGGGTGTTCGCTCTCACTTCGATGGTTGCGTGTTAGCTCGCCGCCGGGTTCATCGGCGGGAATGAGGCATAGACTAACAAGGTGTTGGGACGACATTGTACAGCAGTAGATCTAGAGATAACCGCAAGGTTCCGAGCAATAACCAGCCTCGTGAGAACGGCGACGGTAACTTGAACCATACCCCGTGTACGTGCACAATCCGTTTCCATTCCCTTGGCCCTACACTCTGATAGGCTATCTCTAGACCACGAGACTGTCTGTCAAATGTACAGCTATAGGTACTGCTGTGATGTTGTGATGCTGTCGGTAAAACGGTCAAAGACCGGTTCACCTGTCACTCTCGGGGCTTGTGTGTAAAAATGCGGCGGAACAGCTGGATACAATTCACGGAGCCCCCGCCATCAGACCAAATCATCTGCTGCTATTCTAGTGTAGCCTCTCGTCCCTACATGCTCTCTCTCCCTTGGCCCATGACAGGGAAGAGAAAGGACAAGAGAAGACGAACGGTAGCATGTTTCCGTTATCGGAGGATTCTGATGCTCACAAGTTTGTTCTCGCTGGTGGTTTTGCGGTGCTGCTGCTGCGAGCCTGCCCAGGCTTCTTCTGCTGACAGCGGCAACAGCAGAAGCAACAGCAACGACGCGAGGCAACCCGAAGAAACGCCGCCTGCGGACGTCGTTGACAACGACCCTTGTGTTAATGCCGCTGATGATGTCGCCAGTGTGCCTGGTAGGGATTCCATCGAAGACACATTAAGAATAAACGCGAGGAGCGGCCACGTGGAAGACGCGGAGGAGTTGGGAATGCCCACCGCTATTGCGACACTCGGGGTAGACGAGGGAGAGGGGGAGGACGACGGCGGTGGCTCCGTTTCGCTGACTCCTGCTGACCCAGTAGCATCAGGAGCGGTATCGCTAGCGGGAGCATCTGCGTCATCCTCAGGGACGACAGGTGATCAACAGGCAACACAAGCGGGAGCGGCTTCTCAGGGAGACGCTGTAGTTATCATGCAACAACACGACGCCGCGGCCGCCGTGGCAGCGCACTCTGCCACTGGTCCTGTTGACGTTGATGCCGACACTCCTTCTTTCGCCGCTACCAGTGCTGCTGATGCTATGCAAGGGTCTGAACTAGACCAAAACAGCCATCAGCACGATACGAACGTTCTAGCCGTTGGCGACGAAGGTTGCGTCAGCGGGGGAGGACGGTTGGGCGGGCCGACGGGGTTCGACGCCGGGAGAGAAAAAAAACTGCCAGCGGCGGAGGCGGCTTCGGCACCGGGAGTAGAAACGGCAGAGGATCGGACGAGGAACGAGGGCGAAATAAAGGATGAGGCGCTGCGATTGGAAGGTGACGGCGGCAAGGAGGCTGGGGGCGCGAGGGATGAAATCGACCGGCCTGGCGGTAAGGATGAGCTTGTGGAAGAGACAACGGAAGCGGTCAAGGGAGGAGAGTCGCTAATGACAGACGGCGACTATTCCGAAGCGGCACACAGTAGCGATGAAGTGGAATCAGGGGCAACCGGACTCGACGACCCCGCTGCTGTCGTTGATGATTCTGAAGTTGCCGACTCTGCCACCGCTGATGTTGGCGGCGATGCTGACGCCGAGCCTACCGCTGCTGCCGCTGCTGCTGCTGCTGCTATTGCTGCCCTGGCTGCTGAGGAGAGTGAAGAGCAGCGAGTACCACCGGTGCAGCCCCTGGTCTCCGAGAAAGAACCATCGCTCGACGCACACAGCAGCGATACCGGCGCCGCTCAAGCGAAGGACATCGGCGGAGAAGCCCTATCGCCAGCAGTCGGGGACGATGATACAGATACAGATGAAGGTGACGGCGCTGCTTGCACTGGCGTTTCTGATTTCGCGAAACTACCCGCCCCCGACACCGGTACCTCTACCGCCTCCGCCGGTGGAGAATTCCAGTCTGTGCGGACACCCAGCGGAACGTCATCACCACCAAAGTCGGTGGCAGCTGTCGCGGATGGGCTCGATGAGGAGGTATTGAAATCAGAAGGGTCGGGCGGCAGCTACAGCGGCGGTAGCTACAGCGGCGGCGGCGGCGGGGCTGACGATCACGGGGTCGCCGACGGTGGGACGGCGGATGAACACCGCCCCGTGGAGGACTCTGAGGTCGAGACAGAGACCGGTGATCACAGCAGCAGCAGAACAAGCGGGGGCAGTGGCGGGCGGAGGGGCGCAAAAGAGTACAAGAGGCCCGGCGGGCAGGGCGAAAATAAAGAGGTGCGAGAAAGTCGGGAGGAGGCGTATCCCCACCACGGAGGGGACGGTGTTGATGGTGGCGATGCCAGCCGCAGCAGCGGTAGTACGGCGGATTTTCCTCGAGGTTCGCCGGAGGAGATGGCGCAGCGCGTGAGAGATATGGAGGCGGAGCTTGTGCGCAAGCTCCTCGCGGAGGAGGACGCCAAGTCCTTGCTCGACATGTAAGGGAGATTCTAGACCGGCATCGACACATCGGTGGTCATTGCTGTGTTCGTTGTGTTTCTATCCACGGTAGAAGCGTCACTTGCTGATGCGTGCAGCGTGTCCACATGCTGTTGGACGGTTCGTCTACATGGTCGGAGTTATTCCTGCAAGTCGTGTGTAGCAAGGAAAACGATATTTTCACAAACCAACACGCCGTTTTGTGTGTGAAAAGGCAAGCTAGGAGAGAAGTGGCAAGCGAAACCGTCAAGGTGTGCCTTGCAGGGTTAGTTCGGGAGTCAACGTGTCTTGGCTTGACCTGAACCGATCCCTCTCCCGCCCCCAACGTCGATGCGCCCTCGCCAACCGGAAACAATCTCTGCCCATAACAATGACCTCCTGCGATGCAGTACTTTTGTTTGTTAGCCGCAAGCGCCAAACCACGTCTAAACAGCTTGCCCCCTCCCTGTCGCCGGCCTTCCCGTCTCAAAAGCTGGGTGGAGAGAACGCGAGAGTACGTCTTGACCCAGACGGTTCCGCCGACAGACGCGGAGTGCGACTTCAACTGGAGCCGCCTCCGCTGCGAGCCCAAGTGCACGTGCGGCGCGCGGCTCCGCTTCGGCGACTACACCCCCGGCCGAGCCTGCCGCCTGCTGCACCCCTGGGAGCGTAACCCGGAGCTGTGCGGCAGCGGCGTCAACGGCGACGACGGCGGTGACAGCGGAGGCGGCAGTAGGGACGGCGGCGGCGGCGGCGCGTGGGACCCTTCGGACGAGCCGGCCGTGAGGCGAGTCGTGGCGGCGGTGGCCGGGGTGCTCGGCGGGTTGCGGCAGGCATACGAGGCGCGGGTGGCCCCGCCTTCGGACTCCGAGTGCAGCTTCAGCTTCGAGACGAGGCGGTGCGAGCCGCAGCCGCTCTGTCGGCTCCGGTTCCGGGTGAGCGAAAGGGGTCAGGAAGAATGCGGTGTGGATGTTCTCTGAGCTACGTGTCTTGCGACGGTCGATGGGGATCGGATCTGAGCTATGTGTCTTGAGTCGATCGGTCGCGCTTTCATTTTCGCTTGTAGTGGTGTTGGCGGTGACGTAGAGAGACAGCGGGGGTGGGGAGCTTCGTCAATTGAGGGGTAGAAGGGAGGAACCTTGGTAGGATGTTGAACCTTGCCGGATCCGAATTAGTTAGTTGAATTTTCTTGATCATGATTGTTGAGTTTCTACGACCGCACACGTGACGGGCATGCATATGCTTGCATGTTCGCGTCAATCTCTCCCCCAACGGCGTATTATCCAGTGCGAAAACTTGCCACCAACGCACACAGCAGTCCCACGATGCGTGCCGGTTGCACGTGATACACGGCTCCCGGGGAACAGGTGTCTTGGGTCTGTAGCCGTGATCGGTGTACAAGGCGACCTTGAGGCAAAACGTAGTACGAAACTGACCGTGCCCTGTCTCCCTCTTCCCTCTCCGTTGTTCTGCTTTCTTAAGTGGGGAGATCTGACTCCAAGCAGCGCTTGCAGGCTCGCCGGCGGCGCAAGCTCGGACGAGAAGAAATATCGTGCTTCCGCTCCTACGCACAAGAGCCCCGGCGGGGGCACCTTCCACTGAATCGAGCACGTGCGCTGCTCGCCCCCCCTGTGTGTTGTTGTACTTGGTGCTTTTGGATCTCTGGGGCGTGATGTATGTGCGTGTCTTTTCTTGTAATGTGTGTAGTTTATTTTTTTGCTGCTTGTCTGTCGTATGTAGCATGACGCACAAACGGCGTAGGAAATTGGGAGTGGTGCTGGGAGGCCGCCCTGCCCCCCGCGTCGATTGTGTGTCTTTCAGTCGGTTGAATTTTCGGGAAACTGTGCATGATTTGGGATGGCGAAAAAATATAATCCAGAGGAGGCCGACAAAAAGGACTTTTTGCGTTGGCACAACATGAAGCGTTAGTTGGACCAACACGGACGTTAGAAGTCTAAATATCAGAACGGTTTAAATGTGAAGAGAATGTGAAGACAACAATGGCAACGTCGACGAAGTCGACGACGACGACGACGTCGGAGGAATGTGAAGAGAATGTGAAGACAACAACAATAGCAACGTCGACGTCGTCGACGACGACGACGACATCGGAGACATCATCATCGTCAACAACAACAACAAGCGGCTGATGGGAGCGATAGTTGTGTACATGCCAATGCAGTCATTGAGAAGGTTGTTGGCATTGGGACGGGCCGGGGATGCTGTACGTTCTCTAAGAGAATCGCTACAATATGGCCCAGGCGCCGTCTATTTAGTTTCTTGGTCGAGCTGTTGTTGGTGTGATGCCTGGGATGGGCCAGGCAGGCGAGAGAAGAAGCTCCCGAAACCAAATCACTCTTTTTTTTTTTTTCAATTTGTGTTCCCTCTCGTCCGTAGTTGGTTTCTTCCTCGGTGAGGCCTTCCTGCTGTGCGGTCCCGGCTGGTGCGTCCGAGGACACACCGAAAGGTGAAAAGATCAACGTCCAAGAACAAATGGATGATCCGCACCCACAACGTGCTCTGCAGAGATGTGCCGGGTTTTGAGACCACGGGCTCCCCATTTTTTGTGGACTATAGAGCTAATGTGAGAACAACCACAACAACAACTGTCCCTTGCCCGCGGTTCACGATTTACTGTAGCCGAAGGTGGAAAAATAGTCGAACTGAGCGAGAGGCAAAAAAAATGCTCATGAAATGACGGTCCCCTGACGACATTGTCGACTGAAACGAGCGTTCATGCCTACCATCGCACTCCACGTGTGTTTTTCTTGCTCTTGATCCCCAGTTTGTGGACAACAATGTTATACTAGTATGAAACAATTTCAACAAGCCTGTGACGTCGTAATGTACCGAACGTGTCAGTTGGAATGTACAGAGACAGATGTTGGGACACAGGGGACGGAGATCGGAAAGTGCACTGCTCTAGTAGCGTGCCGACAACCAACAACAACTAGAACAACAGCAGCTGCACCATCCGCGCCTTTTCATGTGCCGCACCCTACCGCGGCTGTTGCGATGATGCGCCAAAACGGGAAAACAGTCGAAACCGAACCGTACATGTGTATCGCACAGATGTGTTTGGTGTGGTATGTTTACAGCAGCAGTCCCTCTCCCACTCCCTGGACGTTGCAAAGAGGGAAGGAGGCCTCCTAAATGTACCTACTCTCCAATCCTTTGAGGTACTTTAATTGTACTTCGTATAGACTACTGGCGGGTTCCGCCGTATAGACGAATCGGTTCTCCCCCGGCGAATTTATTTTTTAAAAAACACTTTTTTTATTTTTTATTTTTCTAAATACATATGACACAACGAGTCCATCTCTATCTTTTTTGGTTCTAAGTCTAAAACGACGTTTAAGCGCATAAAAAAAAGAGCGATAAAAAAAATCGGTTCGGATCATGTCGAACTTTTTTTCGGCGCATTGACTTCCCGATCTCGCCGCCTCCATTCTCCTCGGCAATCAACTCCGCTTGGCCGATTTAGGGGGGGTAGAGCCACTCAGAAAGTTGGTCTGACCAAAAGTGGCCGCGGGAGGGGGCCATATATGAGTGGGGCTGGGGCTGGAGCTGGCATCCCAGCGGGCAACTGCATCCGCATCGTACCGCTGGGAGACAAGCAGTGGAAAGTAAAGCACCAATGGGTTCCACACCCCCTTAGGCCTCAAGCTCACCACCAAGCTGATGGACCAACGGAAGGATACCAGCGTTATCGACCAGCCTGTGGCCTACCCCAAGGATGACGAGGATGCCTTATGCTCGAGAGCTAAGGAAAAGCCCGAGGAAATCTTGAAGACGAGAAGGGACAGATACGAACAATCACTGCAGCGTAGCAGCGTGAAGATGCGGCGACACCGGCAGGAGGGCAGACAGCGAGATGGGCTGTCCAGTGAGAGCGGCGTTGCCGCGGAAGGCTCGTGCTGGCGTTACAAAGCCGACTGCTCCCGATCGCGCCCCTGAGGAAGAGGTAAGGATCTGCTGCTGCTGGGTGCTGCTGGGTCTGTCTGTCATTCTCTCGCTACCCCCTCTTGAACCTCTCTCCTCTGTTGTACTATTATGTAGAAACAACAACTTGCTGTGCGGGAAAATACTTGAAGATTGCCTGCATGTGCTGGTATCCCTTTAGTTATAGACTGCTGTCCGCTCTCTCTACCGTAGAGGCCTGCCGACTGCTGAAGACAACAACGAGTGTTCGCTGTGATGCGAGACTTCTTCTCTACCTCCACGTTGTATGCCACCGCTGGCGCAACTTCCAATTGCTATCTACGGCGAGTATTCGAATCGAAGTATAAATTGAACCACAGGTTTTTATTCTTGATTTCTTCTGCTGCTACCCCAGCGCTGACGTTTCCAAATGCCCCCACCACTGCACGTTGCACTTGACCCACCCCGCCGCTCAAACCTTCCAGCCACCAGAGCAGTTCGAGTGGAGTGACACCTCGCCAGCATTCGTCGCGGCGATGAGAGCGATGACCACAACGGAGTTGTTGCGGTGTCTGGCAGAGCTCAAGGTGCCCGCCGCTGACAAGCTTCGAGAGCAGCTCGAGGAAGCGAGGAAGCTCCAATCGGCATGTCGTAGAGCCTTAAAGGATGCCGCAATCCAAGGGCGAGCCAAAGAGGGAAGGAGAGCGTTCCAGACGTTGCTCACGGCTGTTGCGTACGATGGAAACGGGCCTTCGAAGGTGACAGCCAAGCGCAAGTCCGAGATCTTTGGCATTCACCCAGAGCACCTCGTCGCCGCCCGACGGTGGGTGACAGTGCTGAGGCCTGATTTCCCTCTACTTCAGGCAATCGATGAGAAGGCGTACTACTTCCACTCCCGGACCAAGAGGAGCGACGTAACCCCCCTAGAAATGCTGGAGCTCATGGAACGTTCTGGCACACCGACGAGGTATCTCGTGCATCGGGGAACTCCAAAGACATCTGGCGGGAATCCAAGTCGCCCAGTGTCGGAGGAGTCCGAAGAGGAAGAAAGCTCCGAGGATGAGGAGGCCGACAAGGACGACGAGGACGACGAGGGGGAGGGGGAGGGGGAGGAAGAGGAAGGGGGGGAGGAGAGGGGGGAGGAAGGCCCGACTCTGGCGAAAGAGGCGGTTTGTGTCGAGAAGGTGGTTCTCCGGCACAAACTGCACACCGGTTCGGCCTCTTGTTTTTGCTCTGCCTGTCGCGTGCATGAGTACGAGCGGTGCTATACCAGGAGCAAGTACCCGGCCTGCGGCACGAAGCTCGAAGAGCAGGTAGTAGAGGAGACAGTCATCATGGTCACTGGTGTAGATCCTGTGGTTGGGGTGGATCCTGTGGTCGGGAGCAAAAANGTACGAGTGGTGCTACACCAGGAGCAAGTTCCCGGCCCGCGGCACGAAGCTCGAAGAGCAGGCTGTAGAGGAGACAGTCATCATGGTCACTGGTGTAGATCCTGTGGTTGGGGTGGATCCTGTGGTCGGGAGCAAAAAGAAGGCGAAGAAAATTGTTTTCTTGAAGGGGGCGACCACCTGTCAGATGGACAGGGTTACTGGTACACAGTTTGGGGTCTCATTCTGCGGTAGCAGCAAGTAGATATTGATTGAGGGGCTGGGTGATGGTGCGTTCAGATCTTGGTTTGCATTTTTGCTGTATTATTGTGAAGATAAGCGCGTGGTTTGGTGAAGATTGTACGTGTTGCGACTTGTAAACTTGCAGTTTTTCTGTTGTGCTTCAATCGGCGGCGGCGAGAAAAGTGTCTATGTACAACACCCATAATAACTTTGTTCAGAATGCGAGAAAAAAATCCAACGACGTATTCGTACTCCCCACCCCAAAATTGACATACCCTGAAATTTTCAGATCGATCTGATGATTTTTCAAAACCGGGGATATTTTGGCACCATCCCCGGTCTGTGCGTTTTCGCAAATCGGCAATCGAAAAAGAGCATAATGCATTGAAACCCGGCCACCACCATCGAGTTTGCTTTTCAAATTTTGCATATCATCATAACTATGATATAGGATCATTGTAATTATATTTCAAGGGTTGGGGGGGAGGATAAGTGACGACCCGTCCCCCCCCCCCAAATAAATTCGCCTTTACCGCGGAACCCGCCTACTGTACAACTGAGCTGCCCCTAACAGTTTTGCCTTCGTCTTCAGGTCCCGGGATGTCAGGTCTCGTACATACAGGCGCTAATTGGCCGAGGCCAACGTTCCACGCGGTCCCCAAGAAAATGAGAGAAGGCGTTTGTCACAATCGCCCTCTGCTCTCCATCTATCCAGCTCTCGCGGTCTACCCTCATTCCCACCGCCCTGACCAGAGGAACTGCCTGGAGAAACTCACCCGGAGAACAAAGACGCCGCAGACGGGACCAACCACTCTCACAAATCTTGGTGGGCATAACATGCGTGGTTCCCCAAGCGCATGAGCAGTCTACCCTCTTTTTATCAGGCCCACAACCAAACAGGCACGCCCTTCACTCGGTAACCTGCTGCAGCGCTGCACCGCCGTGTTACCCTCCCGGTAATGGAGGACGAGCATTCGGTGTCCTCCCACTGCCATACCTTCGTCTTCCTCTTTGTTGGTGAGTCTCAGTCCTTGGCAAATGTCCTACAAGTGACACACCTCTAAATAGTTAATTTAGAGTACTGCCTCACGGTGGCGATTGGGGGACCGCCTACGCATGGGATTGAGCTTTGCCGTTTGCGGCGACAAGATCCACCCTGATGCCCGTGCGGCGGACTTACTGCGGCGAAGACAGTGAAAATAGAACATAGCTTAGGCCCAAACATTCTGCAAGTATGCGAGCAGTTGGCTGATGGGACACCTTGTCCATGACCTACTGCTGTATCACTGCCCCGCCCGGGAAACAGCAAGCTGTAGACTAGTTTATGCCCTGCCTGCGTGCTTTCACCGACTCTTCCAATCCCCAGAACCGCAGCAGCCTCCGGATAATCAACAAGGGCGGCAGTGGAAGCAACAGAGTAACAGGGGCGACCAAAGCTGAAGCAGCAGCCTTGGGGTCACACATTGACGCGCCGGTCGTGAGAGACAGGTGTACCCTTGACTGACTAGGCTGTGTTGCTGAAACGCTTGGTGTGCAGCAGTACCTTGGCGCTGTGCTGCTGCTATGTATTCTTCAGGGATGCGGTGTAGAACCGCGCACCGTCGTGCTTTGTTTTTCGACATGGTCACGGTGCGGTGCGGTGCGGTGCGGTGCGGTGCGGTGCGGTGCGGTGCGGTGGTGCACATTTTTTTTTTCAGTGCAGTCTTTTCTACATCATGATCAAACCCGCGCGAACGGCGGCCTTGGCACCGGTGCACCGTCGTAGAAAACCGCCCAAATACTACGGTTGTCCGTGACAAACGTGACGCGATATCTACCATTTTGTGGCATACGTTCGATTTAGTCAAGTAAAATGAATACAAATTGTGCTGTGCATGGAGGCCGCCAACAACAAATTCCGCGGCCTTGCGGTCAGAGAACCCGAAAACCTCGACACAATTGAGAAGGCACTGTTGTGTCATTCACTTTATTATTCCAGTCACCGTACGTCCCTACAACACGCATCAGTAGCAGCTGATACCTCACTTGCCTCTATTGCTGTTGGATTTTTTTCTCTAGTTCTGGCAGCACCAGGCGGCTCAGTTCGTTCACAACCACTCCAAACGCGTCCCTTCTACCCTCAGTCAGAGTTGACCTCGACAACTGTTGCTCTCCCTTACGAGCAGCTTTTGCCTTTCCTGGTATGGGTCTGCATGGAAAAACCGTGGCATGCCTGCGCTTTTACAGCGGTTATCTGCGGTTTTGGTAACGGAGTAGGACAAACCGCATGGTGATTCTAGATAGGGCGGGGTAATGTGCCTCGGGGTAGTCGACTGAACACCTTGCAGTAGTCTATGTACCTGCGATGCTTCTTTGCTTTTTGCGGTGTTTTGCGGTGCGTAAGCGGGTGCAGTCCATCATCATTTGGATTTTGAATCCGAGTTATAACAAAAAGTAATTATAGTGCAACGAACGGCCGCTGGGATTCGTGTGCATACAGCAATACGTACCGTAGGTGACACAAGATACCACACCCTGGACCAAATGAAAAGGCTCGGTTGATCACACACCACAACGAGTGGCGGTGATGATTATGGTGGCGTGGGAACTGTCTTGTCGAGAGCTCCCCGACGACGTCTCGCTGAGTTTACGCATTGGTCATAGAAGCGGTACAGGGGGTATCTTATGTTACCTACAGTAGACCTGTGTGCATACGTCATACGTACGTTCCCAGCACTTTTGGTGTTTCGGTGGTTTCTCTGCAAAGAGTGACGCGGCAGCAATGAAAAAGCCATTCCCCGCGAGATATGTGTGCATGCAACGTCCTGTATGGCGGCTGATAGAGGCCACGGGGCCATAGGACCCACGGAAGCTGAGGTGGCGAGAGTCGGCAGTGCATGTATGCGAGACAAAAACCTTGGCGCAAAAACAAAGAAGCCTCTTCTTGTGCATTTTGTCCTCGTGGCACAGGTTTGTTTCCAGGTGACCCCCCCACACACACCGAAGCAACAGCAATAACAAAGGTATCCGCCACGAGCTGTGTCCATGCTCCGTCTTGTGTGGTGATTAACACCGAACAGGAGGCTGCAGGACGCTCAGAAATTGCGAGCGCGAGAGTCTGGCACAGCCTGAATGAAACCCGCCTCGTCTGCCGGGATCTGTTTGTACACATTGCTTTGCCCAAGGCGCACGTTTGGTTTTGCGATCATCCCTCCCCACACCGAAGAAACAGCAATGACAATGACACCCGCCACGAGCTGTGTGTATGAACCCCTTCCCTCGTTCCCTCGTTCCCTCGCCCCCCCCCCCGGTGTTTGCCATCGGGGTTGGGTTTTCGTCGCTTGGCA